AGAGAATGGAAACAATTTAACTATTAAAATTTGACATCATTAAACTTAATTTAATTATTAAATACATAATTAAGAAAAGAAAATAGAGTTGATAATGCATCCAATTCAATAAAATTATCTTGAATACTAATACACGAGTCAAAGGCCCATTTTAGACATTTGAACGGCTGCAACTTTAAACCCTTGATCTCAAGTTCCCTCTCCTTGCTTCTTACAGATAAACCCTGGTTTCATTACTGGTCTGGATGGTGACGAACTTTACTGTGCTGATTTTCATGTCGGTAGGGTGAACCTGCATAATAACGGCAAATTGTAAAGCGATTTGGCAATGGGAGAAGCAGTTTGATAAAAAGTCTTCACAATCTTGGTATGTCTTCATCTTTTAACGCTGACGGATCTTCAATATGAACGTTTTTGTTGTCTATTTTACTCCACAGTAAACGTTAAAATCCGTCTGTTCCGTTTTGACTAACTCCGTCCACAAGAACTCGTCATTACGTCACGTCCGTTAGTAACGCCGATACTAATAGAAGTTATTTAACGTCTAACACTAACGACTTTTTTCATTTTTTTTTATTACAATTCAATAATTTCATAAAAAAGATGAAAATTAACTATTGAATGATATTATATCTGTACGGACTTTCATATTACAAGAAACTGATTAAATATTATAAAGTTATATGATTTCTTGTATGTAAACTTTGTTATATACACTGTCACAAGAAATCTTAAAATTTTCGTCTAATTTTATCTTATGTGATGTTGATATAATATTAAATCACTTCAACTCTATATCTATTCTTCAAAATCATAAAAAAGGATATATCATTTGGGATGAAAATTTTCATTAATTTTTGTAACTTACAAGCAATTTCGTGAAATTTATGAAAGCGAAATTGATTGATAACAGGTAGTTATTTAGGATATGAAGCCAAATTAAAGTTATACTAAAGACAATCTTTGAATTAATTTGTACACATGTTGGGACTCATATGAAAGAAAAATATTTGTATGTGCTAGCTTTTTCAAAAAATAATTGAATGTGATGATGCATTGATGGAGTACAAATTGCTGAGATCAAGAGCCACTGTGTACTTACAATTTCGCTTTCAAGTGGCTAAAACCGTGCTTACATAAACTGATTGAACCATCAGAAAATGGTCAATTTAACTCCGAATTGCACCAAATTTCAGAAAATGGTGAATTTATTATTTATGTGAGATGGGATACAAAACTATATAACATATTCATAAAATTATCAAGTCAACGTACAATTTTAAGACCGAAAATATGAGACAATCTTGCAATGTTATCTTATGACGATAAACAAGCTACAGCAGCTAGGGATCTTACCATGAAACAATTATTTCTGATCCTATTTTCACCATGTAAGACAACTTCAAGAGTGCTTGGCAAAGAAGATGCTCTGCTATTAGTATCAGTTCTCTGTTTTTCAAGAAAGGGGACATTCATCAATTTCTATCTTTAACGTTGTCATCTGATGAAGTTGGTTAGACAAAGACTTCAATTTGGGGCAAAATTGAAGGAATGACATCCTACCCAAAGGAAGAAGGTGCTCACATCCTACTAGTTAATAACAACACCCAATTAGGGATCATAGTGAATTTCCTAAACATAATGTCTTTAAATTTAGAGGTGGTTGCATTAATAATATTTGGCTTAGAGCATTAATTTTCTTTAATACAGGTCAGAAAGGGCCGGAGCAAAATGGGCTGTGGATTTCTAGTCTTTAAGGGGCCCAATCCCATCATTTTTTCTTATTTTAAATTTTCTTGGGGAAAAAAATCCTAAACTTTTTATTTTTTAAATAACTAAATATTGCTTAAATTTTGAAATAAAGATTGTGTCCTTAAGGTAATTTTTATAAATTATAGATATAATAAGCTTTATTTATATAAATGCTATAATAAATGTTAATTGTTTAACAATTGAACAAATATAAAACCATAGTATTAATCGTGTGCATAGATATGAGTAATATCTATATTGAATTACATAGTTTTAATAATTAAATAAGATAAAATGATTATGTCAAAACCTATTCTTATGTTGGATTTGTTTTCATGAAATTGACGTCTTTGAACAGTGATAATTGATTTTTCCAACCTTTCTTCCACAACTTGGCCCTAAATTAAATAAATTTTGGGTAGACTTCTTGCCCTATTGGAAAATCAAGTATGGAAATTGCATTACATTTCAGGAGTTAGGATGCTTGAGTCAGTCTTTATAAAATAGATGTTTATGAGTCGTGACAATTGGTTTTACAATTTTGAGATTCAGAATTTACGATGTGTACCATTTTGTTTTTTTTTTTTAAAAAAAAAAAGATCTGAAACTAAGGAAATTTATGAAAGTTAAAAAAGAGATTAGTTTTTTGATACTCATACACAACTCGTATTCGTCTTTTGAGTCTTAAATGAACACCTAGATTCTATCAGATAGAGAAGGTTGGGATGAGTCATGTCAATATATTGTTTACTTGAAGCATTTTATAAATTATAGATATAATAAGCTTTATTTATATAAATGATATAGTAAATGTTATTTAACAATTGAACAAATATAAAACTATATTATTCATCATGTGCATATAAATGAGTAATATCTATATTAAATTACATAGTTTTAATAATTAAAATAAGATAAAATAATTATGTCAAAGTTTATTCTCATGGTGGATTTGCTTTCATGAAATTGATGTCTTTCAACTGTGATAATTGGTTTTTCCAACCTTTCTTCCACAACTTAGCCCTACATCAAATAAATTTTGGGTAGACTTCTTGGCTCATTGAAAAATAAAGTATGAAAATTGCATTAAGTTTCAAGAGTCATGATATTTGAGTAAGTCTTCATGAAATAGATGTTATAAGTTGTAACAATTGGTTTTTTCATAACTTGAACATTTTTTCCAGAACATGGCCCTACACGAATAAAAAACCATTTAGAAATTGAAAATTATAAGAGCCAATACCCAAAAGAACAAAAAGCCATAAAATTAAGCAAGAGAGAATAAGATAATTTAAGCTTACTTCATACACAATGGAAACAAGTGTATAAACTTATAATAAATCTTTGAAAAAAATAAGCGAAAGATCTCATGAACACTAATATGTCTAATTTAATAGGATTAAAAACCTATATTGAATTTTTCATCAATTATAATTGAAGAAAACGTAGAAAAGACTTCTAGCAATAATATATAAAGATTCTAAGAAACTTGTTACTTTGGTTGTGCTTGACTCATAAAAAATATTACCCAGCATTATTTTCGTAATTTATCTTCAAAAGTAATTAATAATTAACTTCATTTAAAAAATCGTACGACATAATTTTTTTATTATAAATCAAAAGGATAGAATGATTCAAGTGGGGGTGATATTATGGGCTGAATCTGTGTTTACGTAAGCCGATTAAAATGTGATAAATGATCAATTGATCCAAATTACACAAACTTTGTGAAAATCGAATGGATTGCATGTTGCCACGTCGTCTGCATCATCTAGAAAATTATTTCCATTATATTATGTACATCTTAAACTTTATACCAACCCCAGATTTGGAAGCCGTAGATGATGAGCAAGGGATGATTAATTTATATACGTGGTGGCATTTTCCAAGATAATTGAGGCAATGATGCATTAATGGAGTACAATTGGCGAGTTCACAGCCATTTGATCAATCTTTGCACTGTTAACAAATATGTGTGGAAAAATATTGTTTATGCGTTGCCGTTTTCCAAAATAATTGAGGTGATGATGGTGCGATCACAGCCATTTGTTTTGTTGCAAGTTTANCTTCCACAACAGTGGGGGCCAGCATTAATTTTGCCCTTATTGACCTCTTCTATGTCCTACAACAAATGAAGTGGGAATTTTCCTTCCACAACAATGGGGACCAGCATTAATTTTGCCCTTATTGACCTCTTCTATGTCCTACACCAAATGAAGTTGGTAGTTATGGTAGAGGAAGCAGTCTCAAACCGCGTAATTTGATTTTTCCAAGCTAGTTGCAGTCAATGGGAATTTTCCTTCCACAACAGTGGGGACCAGCATTAATTTTGCCCTTATTGACCTCTTCTATGTCCTACAACAAATGAAGTTGTTCACTGAAAAGGCAATACTTCTATGTTTTTAGTCTATACAATATTGAGATCCAATAATATTATAAATAGCACAAAGCTAATCTCTTAGTAGTCACAGAAGCAGTGCAATTAGTGTGCTATTAAAAGATGGGGTTAAAAAGTGTGATGATGTGGCTGATGTTGATTTTGATGTTTATTTCTTTACAAGGATGGAGGATTGAGGGGTGTTTGAAGCAAGAGAGATCTGCTCTCTTTCAACTTAAACATTTCTTCAATGATCCTACTCGTCTTCCAAATTGGTTTGAGGGAAATGGAAATTCAAACTGTTGTCATTGGGAACGTGTTATTTGCAATAACACAACGGGTAGAGTGATCTCTCTTGATCTTGAATCTACAAGAAATCAAGAATTAGGAGAGTGGTATCTAAATGTTTCTTTGTTTTCTCCATTCCAAGAACTAGAGACACTTTACTTAAGTGACAATCTCATAGTCGGTTGCGTTGAGAATGAAGGTTATTCCATCCTCACTTTTAAATAATGAAATTTTACTTCCATGTCTTTATTAACAAGAATTGTTTTGTAGGTTTTGAAAGATTATCACACTTGACTAATCTCGTGGGTCTCTACCTCAGTTCCAATATGTTTCATGACAGTCGCATTTTATCAGCTTTGAGCCAACATTCATCTCTCAAGAATTTAAGTCTAGAGTATAATCAGTTTAGAGAACTAAACCATTTTAATGGTAATGTTCTTTTATGTGACATAACTTTTATTATCACTTTTATATTTAGATTGATACACAAAACTATGTGCGGTTATTATTATTACTATTATTATATGTGCCGATTTCAGTTTCAAGGTTGAGTAACTTGGAGTTTCTGGGCTTAAGCGGTAACATGTTCAACAATAGCATATTATCACATGTGTCTACTTTCTCATCATTAAAGGGAATATATCTGAATAACATCGGATTAAAAGGCGTCGTTGATCTTCAAGGTAAGCTTGTTTCTCATTTTAATTTCTCTAATGTATAACATTTTATTCTATATTGAAGGTTCTCTCTCTTTGCTTTGTCGAGTAAATTAAAAGCTCTAAATAAGATTCTTTCGGAAACTTCAGTTTACTCAGTCCAAACATCTTCTTCATTTTCTCATGGTTTTAGTTGACTGTATAATTAAACTCTTTGAACAACACAAAAAAGGTAGAGTAGTTGAGCATAATGAGATTTTCAAAAAGGGATAAAACTTATATTCATTTAGGAAGACAATATTGAAGGCTATGGATATCTAGAAGTAATTAATGTTGACTTAAGGAAAGTTGTTAATTAAGTTTTGATGATAAAATTGTTTTAATAGCATCTTATCATATCTCTAGTTTGTCTTTCCTCATTAAAAGACTTTCTCATTGTCTTCAACGAAATTAAAAGTCTTCTTAAATGCTCTTTGATTAGTTTTAATCTCTCTATTTTAACTCTTGCCAGAATTGGACTCCTTGAGCAACTTAGAGGAGTTGTACATGGGTGGAAATGAGATTAAAAAAATTGTATTCTCCAAAGGTATTTATTGATGGTTAATAATATTTAAACTTACATTTCTCATCCCTTACCAATATTTCTCAGCTTTATGAGACGCATAATAGCACACACGTACTAGGTATTTTTATTCTAATTATTAAATCAAATAAATTTAAAGAACTTTGTTTTTCAATACGAGAAAGCATTGAAAATATTTGTGTTTGAATATTTTCACAAACTCACAGGTGAAACAAGTTGGAGGAAGTTGACTTGGCTTGGACTAAGCAATATGAGTATTAGTGATGGAAATAGTCTCTTACAGACATTGGGCTTATTCCCATCCCTAAAGTCTTTTGAATTCTATGATACCAACTTTAGTGGAGCAGTTATTACTAATGGTAAGTTTCAATAATATTGAAAGTAGGTACATTAATTTGTTTTGCCTTTAAATTATTGTCATAATTACACAATAACTTTTCTTAAATTTGTTCTGCTTTTCAACAGAGTAGTAGACTTCAGCTTCTATTATTCTACTTTCCATAAAAACTTTCTTCGAAGCATGGGAGCATTTACGTCACCTGAAAGTTTGCATAATTTGTAAATGATGATCAAGAAAACTGAAAAGTAGAATTAAAACTCTAGTCTAATTTTCATTGACAAAAGACAATTTTTAGGATTCATTCCATATTATTTACAATTTCCACAAAATAAAATGAAAAAAATTGAATTTTGTTTTTTATTAAAGGATTTGACGAGAATTGATTAGTTGTATGAATTGAAAATTGATTTATAGATTTATAGATCATTCATTTTTTGAAACACTAAGGATGTATTAATTAAAGTTATTTTTTAGTCTAACATTTCTCTCTTTAAACGTACATTTTATTGTTTTCACACTTATTGAACTTAAAACAACTTTATTTCTCTTCTTTCTTTATTAATGTAATTTTATCTTCTTTTATTTTTGTATTTAAGATTTTATTTAACCTTGCTGAATTTTTTTTCTAGTTTAGCCCCTATACCATATTGAATATTCTTTTCAATTTAGAATATTAAATAATTGGTGTAGATTATTGAACAATATTTTATCTACTTTTGTTCTTTTGTAGAGTTACCTTCGTTCAAGAATCTGACACATTTAACTATTTCCGACACTGTTTTTAACAACAAATTTCTTCAAATGATTGAGGGTATGACTTCTCTTCAATCTATTGAAATTTCAAGTAGTAACCTCAACATCAGCGACACTCTATTTGACAAAGGTTAGTAGCTTTTCTCTCTCCTTACAAGTAAAATTTATAATTTATGTATATAATTCTATTAAAAAGAAAAAAAAGAAATAGCACACATAGCTAGTATATTTATTAAATTTGTGCACTACAATAATTATTAAGCATATTGATTAAGTAACATTTGCATGACTATTATTACCCTTGTGCTTCATATAGTAACTATTAAGGAACATTTTTTATTTCAGGAATTTGTAAGATGCTTCATCTTCAGCACTTAGACATGTGGGACAATGATTTTATGGGTACCTTGCCTTGTTGTCTTGCAAACTTGACTTCCCTTCAACACCTAGATATCTCATCAAATCATTTTACGGGTACCTTGCCTTGTTTTCTAGCAAACTTGACTTCCCTTCTATATCTAGATATCTCATCAAATAATTTTACGGGAAATATCTCCTTATCTCCCCTTAAGGTACTGACATCCATCCAAGACTTACGGCTTTCAGACAATCATTTTCAAATCCCTGTTTCCCTTGAACCATTTTTTAACCACTCAAAGCTTAAGAAGTTCTATGGTTATGGTAATGAAATATATGCAGGAATTGAGTCACAATATCTGGCCCCAAAATTTCAATTAAATGACATCTCATTATCCAATTGTGGATATAATGGTTCATTTCCCAAATTTCTCTACAGTCAGCATGACTTACAAGTGGTTGATCTCTCTGACTTTAATTCGAAGGGAAAGTTTCCAGTTTGGTTGTTAAACAACAATACCAAGCTAGAAGAACTTTATCTAGTTAATAATTCTCTTTCAGGGCCTTTGCAATTACCAATTCATCCTCACATGTCTTTGCAAGAATTAGATATATCCATCAATTCCTTCCATGGGCATATTCCAACGGAATTTGGAGCTTATCTACCAATGCTACAAACTTTAAACATTTCTAGAAATGCTTTAAATGGTAGCATTCCCTCTTCGTTTGGTGACATGAAGTTGCTAGAGTATTTGGATCTGTCTTACAATTTGTTGACAGGAGGAATACCTGAGCATTTGGCCATGGATTGCGTCTCATTAGAAGTCCTTGCATTGTCAAACAATAGTTTGCAAGGTCAGATATTCCCTACAAATTTTAACTTGAAAAGCTTGTTATATTTACAATTGGATAACAATAATTTCATTGGAAAGATCCCAGATGGTTTGTCCAATTGCTCCTTGGAAGGGTTGTATATAAGTGGTAACCATCTTGTTGGCACATTACCGAGGTGGTTAGGAAATCAGTCATCTTTGGAGGAAATTATCATGTCAAAGAATCATCTTGAAGGTCCAATCGTCGTGATTCAATTTTTAAGTTCAGGTGAATGTTTCTATTTCATTGAGCAACAATTACTGCATCGAGGTTGTTCTTCGCTGGTTGGCAGTATAGGGTGATGGCTTCGGGTCTGATGACCTAAATGATGGTGGCATTCTTGTACTGTTGATGGCAGCTGGCTTTATAAGTAAAGAATACTACTGAGCTACATTTCTGGCAAGCATGCATGTGGTTGCAACTGTGCTTGTTTTGTGATGGTATTATTTAAGTGCTTATTGAACTTGTTATCATTTATGCAGGGGAGCTTGTTCGGTTTCCAACCGTGGAGTTACAACGGAGATTGTTCGATTGAATGCCTGGTATTCAAGTGAAGATGGTTCTTTGGAAGGCCCAGCACAGCTATATTATACGGGGACTTTGTTGTAGTGTGCTGTCTCTCTTCATTCTATGCAAGTACAGCTTTTTCACTCAAAGAAGTCCCTTATTTTATGTGTGTATTTGACTAGTTTAATATATAGAAACATTTTCATAAATTATATAATATATTTTTTTTTTTAATTTCTTTCTGCAACTTTAGCATTTTGATTATTCACTCTCTTGCAGGTTTCTGTTCACTTGTGGATTCGGTAATGACCTGAACGCCAGATATTGATTGAACTAGTTTTGCTTCCTCTGAGACCGGGTTTCTGCTTTGTTTAGTCAGCAACAATTGCAGGTAACAATATTAGTTCTATTATTTGTGCACTCACAACCAAAGAAAAAAAATTTCAGCTTGAGGTTTTTGACAAAGCTAACTTTGTCCTACATTGACATACTGTTTACTTTGTTTTGTCTGATTACTGATGGAGCAGTGTTTTCCAATTTGTCAGCCACCATCTAAATCTTTACCTGCATCCTGTAGATTAGTTCCTTCTTATTAGCTAGCATGCCCATCAAGATGCATGCTTAACTTTTTCCTTAACTGTTGTGTGTACAGATCCCCGAACCTGTTGCCGGGTTTGTGAAAGGATGACCCCAAAATTATAAGAGCTGACAATGCTGAGTGTCCTTTCCTCATTTTTCAGGAGTTTTTGTTGTTCGATAGGGAGTATGCAATATGCAAAATGAATCTCAGGGAAGAAACCTTCTTTTTGAATCATTCTACATTTCGGAAACAGAATCTCCAATGCCTTCTTTGAGTGCTTAACTCTTTCCCGGCTTAATTTGAATATTGATGAAGAGCTGCATATCTGCTTTCCTTTTCTCTTCTTGGAAGCATTTTGTTTTGTTTAAAAGCTGTAAATGATGAAAAAAAAAAAAAAAAGAAAGTAATTTTATGTTTTTCTTTATGAGGTACATTTGTCATATTCTCACCTCTCTTGTAAGGACTTATCTGTAATTGAATTTGGAGCAATTTATGACTTCTATGACTTGATACTTTGAGAAATAGTGAATCCCCCGAAAATAATGATGTATTAATATGAGAGTTGTGATTGTCATGAAAATTTTTAATACAGGATAGTGACTTCTATCGACGGAGTTTCGAAGTCCAAGCAAGCTCTCGACTCGGGGCCAGAGGTAACTCTCACTGAAATTGACCAAGTCTTTGAAATTGATTTGAATGAAAGGGACGAAAACAAATATTTCTGTTCAGGATTTACCGCTTTAATTTACTTTTTTTTTTTTTTTTATTTTTTTTTAGATAATACATGTTTCATTTTACTAATGGGTTGTGCCTAACTGCTAATTTTATGCCCTTTTTTTTTTATATGGGGATGGTGCGTTTCCACATTGTTTTATTGTCCTATTTATTTTGGCATACTTATTGAATTCTACATAGTTATTTGTTTATATGTTTCTTCGAATCATGAGCATTAGATGTCACGATTGTGTTCTACCACAGCTGGAACGCAGTGACTTCTCCTTTTGTGCTGCAAGTGTAGACGATGTATCAACTGCTCCAAAGCATGGTCCAATTGAACCACCCGGAAATTCTCCAATTTAATGGATAATGGAGACTATGCAAGCCTCTGAAGAAAATATTTGGGTACAAGATTAGATTTAAAATTCGCATTGGGTTCTTTGGAGAACAGTGGAGATATAGTCTTGGATTTGTTATACATATTTGACTTTTGGCTACAGGTGGAAGTTCCGGATGTTGAAGTTCTACCACCCCCAATTGGGAAGCTTTCTTACTAATGGTTTGACTTGCCTTTAAACAGGTTGAGACAAACCAATAGATTTTTGGGCAGAAATGCACTAGGTTTCCTCAGGCCTGACCTTTCGGAATAAGTTGTACCCAAGAATCCAAGCAAAACAAATTTTGTTTATCCAAGTTAAGACTTGCTGCAGGATATATCCTTTATTTGTGAATTTTGTATCAATTCAATTTAAAAAGATAGGTTGATGATTTCTCATCGAAACCTAATTTATTGTGCTCAAAATCTATTAGTTGTCTCAACATGTTTATTGATGATGACTTTTAAAGCATTGGATTACTTATGATGGCGTATGAATATTTGAAAGTCTTTAGTTTCAATTTTGTAAACGTCGAAATGTAGTTTCTTTAACTCAGCTTTAGTCGATATCGAGCTCTGAGCTCGAGCTCGAGTATCTTGCGTGTGGAGGTCGAGCCAAGTTTTGAGGCCTAATAATATCTTGATTTGGAGCAGTTTTGCAAACTTATTTGAGCAGCTCACGAACTTACTGCAAATTTACATATTATATACTATTTTAATTTTATATTAATATTATATACATAAATTAAATAATTAAACTAAAATTTCAGACCCCAAATTCCTAATTGACATTTTCTGTTTCACATTTTACCTCGATATAACCGATTGAGCTCAGCTTGATTTTGACTCGGTTATAATCGTTGAGCTTGAAGCCGATCAATTTATTGAGCTCTGCTTAGCTTGACATTGAAGTTCAATTGACTCAAGCTTGAGCTTCAACGTCTTTCAACCTAGTTGAGCTCGAGCTTCTCAATTCTCGACTCGTTTGCAATCCTGTTCTTACTCATAGCATTGCTATTCATCCTAGAGCTACAAGGTGTAACCATCACAATTTGTTTATAAGCTTTGACAGTTCTAAGGCCTTGGATCATCATATGGGTTTAATATCTACATTTAATAGTTTAGGCTCTCTATTTCAATGCTATCTCTCATCACAATTGATTTGAAATAACAAAAGAGATTGTGTTGCGCAAGGAAGGCTGTTGGATTCCACATATGTAGTTCAACAGATTGCATGTTCCGCAAAGGAAGGTTTCTTTGTTTCTTTCTTTTGTTTTCTTTACTTGTTTTCTACTATTAGCATCCTATTCTGTCTTGTAAATGGAGAAGTATTCTATGCATCAGTCTTTAGCAATCAATGAATTCATGTAAGGAAATATCATTTTAAAAATCACTAATCAGATAGTTTATTACAAACAAAAGAGAAATAATGTGTTACGGATTTGAATATATTCATTTGTCTTAACAAGTGAACACCCTCTGTTTGCTTATGTTGGAGCCAAGATGGCTGATAAAGCTAAGGAAGCTTGAGCTTTGTAACAGCATGGCCAAATACCAAAGTGGAAGCTCCCACGTAACCAAGAAGCCAGTGTAAAGACGCGGGCACTAAGTCCTTCAAGCACAGGCAATTCATCAGCCACTTCTCTGTGGAGTTTTCTTAAACAGAAGAGAAATCAAGGCAAGTGATCCCACTTACAACTGTATTCATATCATCTTCAATAAAATCACTTATTAGAAGTAAACATTTGTAACGTTAAATCTAATCACTTAAATTTTTAAAGACACATTAATCAAATACCTCATATACCCTATCCACAATAATAAAGCTTATATAAATATTAAATAAGATCTAAAATTTATTTATTTTAAATTTTTATAATCCTTGGATAATGCAGACACAATGGCTGGATGGGTCGTGGAACCGGTCACCGGTGCTAAAATCCGGTTGCCAAATTTTTTTCAACATGATATGTAACAATAAATAGTATAAAAGTGTTGTCTTTAAACGCTTTATCTATTTATTAATTTTTAAGACAAAAGATTTTTCTGTTTTGTTAGTACGTAATTAATCTCAACCCCCTATAGTATTGATAATGACTCTCAACTCTCTCCAGTCAGTGTCTTCTTGTTACTTTTAAACCATGAAATCAGAATTTTGATTAAATCTGTTTAGGGTGATTAAGCAAATTATGAATTTTGTTGGGTGTAAAAGTAAAGTTTTATAAATTTCGAGTGAATTATTAAAATTTGGTTAAGAGAAAAAAAACGATTAGTACAAATAGTATTACTGTTTGTTTTATAGTAAGAAACAAACTCAGCCACTGGCAAGAGGAGCCTAGCGACTAACCTAACGAGTGCACTGGGCATGGTGGCTACTGGCTAGCACTCCTCATGTTAGGATGTTGAAGAATGAGAAATTTTCCGCCGTTGAATAACATATTCACCTTATTTGTTGTGCTCTTTTAAAAATTTTAAACTAAAATTAAATAAAAAAAAAAATATGTGAAAGAGTCAATTATTTAATAGATCAAGCGGTTTATAAAATGAAAATATACTACTAATTATAAAATTAAACTCAAAACCATGCATTTAAAAAGGTTAGGAGAAATTCGAGAACTCTATTACCAAAACTCAATTAATTTGTTTTCCAAAGAAAGGAGCTTACTGTGTGTCATTGTTCTTACTTACAAACCTCAATCTTGTCACTTACAAATGTAGAAGCACACTTCTTATCTTCTATTTTCTCAAAAACACAGTTTTGAAACAACGTTTTGATTTAAATACTAATTCTGTAGTTTATCAGAGTAATTCGTGGGGATTTATGATTTCTTTTTATCAATTAGTTTGGTAAATTAAATTAACTATTATCGGGAATAAATTTGATCCAATTTATATCGATAGCTTACTGAATATTAAAATAACTCTTTGAATGCTTACCATAACTCTATAAAATGCATTTCAAAAACAAATTTATTCAGAGTAATTTTTTGCTGGGCCTTTCATCAGAAAACTAGGCCCCTGGATGCCACGCCGTTTTGTTATGGCTGGGTCGACAGTGCGTTTTGTTAAAGAGCAAGCACTGTTGCCGCCGTTTCGGTTGTCATCTTCTTTTAGAAATAACGAAACCCCCCGCCAAAGCTTTAGGCTTTTCCAGGGTTTAAGCTGACCAGTACAACACTGTTACAGGGTTTTGAAAACTCTGAAATGCTGTTGTGTTCATCAAGGCGAAATGGAGGTTGAAACGGAGACCTTTTCTAGCTTCCTGGACCCGGAAGATCTCTCCATCAGAAAACTGTTTTGCATGGCAACATATTGTAGAATTGTTTTCTGGAAACGTATGGCATTTGTTTTTGAAAAACAAAGATTGCAGCATTTTATTTTCGAAACCTGTTTTAAGTGTCATAACTTGATTTAATTTTATTTGAAATCTTTTATAAATTTTTGAAATAATCATTTAATTATAGTTTGATACTTAATCTAGTACTTAGAGTGAAAATCCTACTTTTAAGACACTTTTACCCATGATGTTTAATAATTTTGTGTTCTCATTCTCTCATAAATAAGAGTGGAAACAATGTTTTTCTAAAACACTCTACCCAAGATGTTTTAATAACCCTTATCCCTTACATCAATATTTGCTCTCACATCTTTTCATAACCTTAATTGGTTTTCATACTTATATTTATAGCAATATAGAGATATTTATTTTTAATAAATTCATATTTAATTCCTAATAGACTTTTATAATTTTATTCTTATTTATAATTGATTATTTGTAAATAGTTTTTTCCTAAGAAACATATAATTTTACATGAGAACAATATAAAAAGACCCATATCCCACAATTGGAGTGTAAGTTTGGGTTCCATAGCATTGTAAAATGCTTTGATCAAGCTCTATCTCCCAATTCCAAGTCATGAAGTCAAAATGACAGAAGTTTTACTCAAGAGTAATTTTGAAATAAACTATGTGAGTTTTTGATATAATATTGGTGGTTTTTTGGCGCAAGAGTTGAAGTTTCCGGATGCTGCTCAGAAAATGGTTGGAGTCGTTGGGATACTTTCTGGAATGATCGGTTTTCAATACTTAGAATGGGTTGAGAAGCCATCCTTTAGTCAACAAGGGAATTTCATGACCGTTTTCAGTACATTTGATAAAGTCATGATGAACTTCACCAAATATATATATCATTAATCAACGAAGACCAATACATCTATATTATGGACCTGAGCCCATCACTTTCTCCAGTAAAAACATTAAACTTAAATTGTAAGAAAGAAGTCCTGAGCCCACCAGCTCTGACTAAATTGCAGATATTAGCGAAGGGATTACACGGACCACGACTTCTTTTTAGAGTCTCCTACTGATAACAAAACCAACAGACAGAAAAGAGAAACGGAATCGAGAATCCATGGCTATTGAAGCAACCATTTGGCTGCGGTAACAACCTACAATGATCATGGACATATTCTACTTTGCCAATTGGTCCTATAGCCGATACAGCATTGAGACTGTTCATGGATAGCTACAAGATTCTCTGAAATCTTAGAAGGTTCAGAGGATGACAAAGGAAGGCTCTCACAGTTGATATGGGAAGATCAAGCTTCTGCAAGCTGTTTATTTGGCAGAGGACGCCATGAAAGCCTTCTTCCTAACTAAAGAATGCAGAAACAGAAGATTTTCATCAAGTTTTTTTCCGCTTTTCTTGAGGTCATCAAATATGCAATTTCGTTTCAGCAACGAGATGAAAAATGTACGGGTCAGCTAACCGATCCATGCCCGTTGAGTTGCGCACAAGAGCTTCTGATGAAATCGCTTGCACACAAGTTAAATTGGTTAATGGCCAACTATGATATCAAATAAATTTTCTGAAGTTCTAAATGAAAGCACCACTCTTGCAAACATCTTCTCATCATTTCTATGGTAAAGATATTGTAGGTTTCCATTATGAGTTTCGGAATTAAGTAGATTAATTTTGACTAGTGAC